GCCTGAGCCGGGGTGGAGCCAGCTGCCAAGGCGGCAAAGCCTCCCAGCCTTCCCTTGGCGTGACCCAGAGTGGAAGCCAAAAGAGGGCTCTGTGCCCGGCCCGATGAGGACGCTACTGACCATCCTGGCTGCGGGATCCCTGGTTGGTGAGTGCCCATTGCCCCATGGCCCCCACTACCCCAGGAGCCAGCGATCAGGGCCATCTCCCTGCACCCCGCCCAGCCCAGGACAGCCAGTTTCAGTTTCTTCTCTGCTGGGGCTGAACTGGATGCTGAGTTTCCCTGGAGAAGGACATGTGGCTCAGGTGACTGGGGAAGATGAGGGTCCTCAGACCCTGGGTTCTTCCAGGGACTCAACTGAGCCTCAAGATTCGAGGATACAGCCAACTGTCTGAACTGGGGTGTCGGATTCCGTACCCCAGTGGGTGGAGAATCGGCTTGAGAGAGGTAGACATCCTTTGACTCCTAAAATCATCCTGGTAGAAGTTATACCATTCGTTGCTCTGCGTCTGGCTGGCACTGGCCTGACAAGGGGACACAGAGGAGAGACGGGGTGGACAAACCTTGAGTCTGGCCGTTGCCTCCCTCCACACCCTGTGGGGGCCCCTGCGGGCCCTCTTGCTGGATCTGTAGCCAAGTTGCCACATTAATAGATCCTAAAACAGCAGAGCCCTTTTGAAAACAGGACTAAAGGACATAGTTTTCAAACCCAATTAGGCGGGTGTTTTGATTCATCGTCACGGAGAACTTTCAGGCAGACATGTAAGAGCCTAGATTGTATCTACTCTCTGAGAGTTTAATAAACTTCAGGGAGCTTTCTCGGGAAGTGAAAGCATAGCCCCGACTGTAAGAGGGGGAGATGGCCTGTGCAAGGCCCCTTCTAGTTCAAGTGCAGGGTGGGCACATGAAAGGCCAGCTTCCCAGTCCCCTTGCTGATGTCCTCGGCCAGTGCTGACTGGATCCACAGTGTTTCCAGCTGCTGCCCAGGCTCCTCCGGTCTGTCCTCCTCCTGGTATCACACTGGGCCCAATACACTGGGCCTGTGATGAGCTAGGAAGATGTGGGGCATCCCCAAGAGACCCCAAGACATGTTCCTTTAGACCCTCACCCATTCTGGTTGGGAATCTTGGAGGCTCCTGGCCCTTTAAGATGGGGGACCCAGGGAACCAGTTCTTAGGAGATTGTTAAGAGTTAGTAAGGCCACTGAGAGAAACCAGGTTCCCTTACCCCAGCGTTCTTAGGCTGAGTCCAGAGCATGCTGAATTGTTTTTGTTTGTTTGTTTTTCCTCAGATTTCCAATTTGTTCACATGTAAACAAAAAATTTGTTTTTCATAAAACTGAAAAAAAAACTTCCTTTTATAAAGTCTACCAGTCTGTCAGTCTTGACAACACATGTCTTCCCAGGGTTTCACAACATAGACTTTCATCTGGGAAGTAGAAATGACACAGGCTGAGGAATAGATGATGAAGTCGAGGAAGAAAGAGAAAGAGTGGATTGGAGGAGAGGGGAGACCTTGTTAGCCCTCAACACCTCCTAAAAGAGGGGGGACCAGCCAAGGTCCACCACCCCATATCAGGAAGCCAACTTCAGTTCCCTCCTGAAAAGTGGTGCCAATGTCCACCGAATTTGGCCCATCACCTTCCGAGCCTGTCCCAGCCTCAGCCACCATCTTCCCCACAACACACACAGCCCACCGGGATACTGAGCCCAGCCAGCAACCTTCCCACTGCAGACTCTAACCCACCACTAGGGGAGGCTAAGCCCACCCCCAGACAGACCCTGGTCTTCTCCCAAATCCCACTCTCTTTCTCTCTTTTTTGCCCTTGACCTCATAATCCCGCCTGAAGCCACCATTCAATTCTGACCTCAAGTAGACTCCCTCTCTCAACTTAAGACCCAGCCCTGAATCCAGGACCCCTCCTTCCAGCGCAGATCCCAATTCTGCCCAGACTCAGATCCAGATGTTGGCCACACCCTGGGGCTCAGCAGCACAGCCATCACGTTGGCTAGAGGCAGTCAGACACCTCTAGTCCCATAGGCCCCATTCTGGGAGCTCCAGGGATCCTGGAACACAAAGATCTCGGCAGCTGCTGGGCCTGACCAACCCAGATTCAGAGAGGAGCGAGGCCTTAGATTTAGCCAGTGGATGCACAGCAGGGTTGGGCTGTCCTAATACTCTTCCCCATCACCATAGGTGGTTCTCAAGCCCATGGACCCCTCTTGCAGAAGTGCTGTATGTAGACTTGGCGTGGGGGAATCAATAACTATCCACTCCCTTACACCTTGGGCCTGCTGGTGGTCATGGTCACATCCAGAGGGAGCACACACACATCAAGGACACACATACACACAAGGCCTCAAGGCCTCAGCTCCACTAGGTCTGCACCTGTTTACTTCCCACCCAGCCAACCAGCCCTTCTGAGCATGCTCAGAGCCAGCTGCCAGCCCTAGTTGCCATTTTCCTGCACCCTCTTCCTTTCTACAGACCAAACCTGGAGGGCTGAGAGAAGAGTTTTATTATAAGTCCAAGGCTCTCATTTACAGTGAAGATTGCTTCGGAGGGAGCAGCCTCTCCCCAGACCCCTTCTTGAGGCTCTGGCCTTTACTCTCCTTTTCTTTTTTTTTTTTTAAAGATTTTTATTGGGGAATTGGGGGGATGGGAACAGCGGTGGGGAATTGGGGAAGGGGAACAGACAAGTTGCTGTTGTTTTGGTCTTCAGTCTAGTTGTGGAGGACGTTGCTTCACTGGCCCAAGTTGGCACCATCATTGCGCTCTTCCCGGGAGAGGCAGATCAGTCGCCGGCTTCTGGACGGCCGCTCACTGCGGCTGCTGGCTACACACGGTAGCCCATGGCAACCCANAAAAAAAAAAAAATAGGCCAGAAGTTACATCTATATCCAGATGAGTGAGTCAGTTCCATGAGTCATTTACTCAAGAGATACTGGTTGGCGCCAGGACCTATTCCAGCCCAGGGAGCCCCTCCCCTCGGCATGTGGTGATACAGGATACAGAGGTGTGACAGCTCTTTATAAATTATCAAGAGTCTTTTCCCAGCCCCTTACTGTCTCTCTAAGTAGGTTAGAAGAAAGTGGGAAGCCCAAGATAGGAATGCCTTAGCATACACCGTCCAGGTGGTAGGAGGCCCCACCCAGGTGCCCACGCCTCCAGGTGAGTCCCATCAGTTCTCGCACCCAAAGCCTTGGCTTCTCTGGATATTAAATGGACCATCTTGGAAGCCAGATTCCAACAGGGGCTCAGAATCCCACCTTCACTTCCATCTCCGAGTTCCAGGCCCCTTCACGGAATGCCCCTCCTCTAAATAACCCTAAGTCAGCCTCAATGCCTAAACTGTAGGATGCCCACACTCCCCCGTCCCTGGAATTTGGCCTCAGACACTAATGCCGACTCAAACTGAGGAAATTTATCACTGTCCTCATGGCCCCCTCCCACCATCCCCATGCCTACACACCCAGGGGTCTGGGTTTTTGCAAAGTTTTCAAGGGCCCTCACTTGGTGCTCGGTCCTCATGTTGTACAGCTCACTGCAAGAGGTCTTCTCCTCAGAGCCAGTCAGAAGGCATCAGCTTGTTTAACCCTCCCAGCAACCCTGAGGAGTAGAGACTAGGAGTAGAGACCCTTTTGTGGATGACAAAGCTGAGGGCGAGAGATTAAGCAGCCTGCACACTGCAGGCAATTGGCAGCGCTAGGATTTGAACCCGGGTCTGTCTGCCTAACGCCCATATTCTGCTCACTTCCTGGCTCCCAGGGGCTATATGAAACTGCTCCCCAAATCCTGGCATGAGATGTCGGGTTTTCTTAATGTTTTTATGAAGCATGGTTTTATAAGCATATGATACGCTTTGGGAACTCCTTACCCTAAGAGAGAGCTGAAATTCTAAGCAGAGTCAATAAGTGCTGAGCTGAATTTGTGCTTGTGTCACCGACAATAGCCATGAAGGGAATTCTGGGATGTCAGGGGAGGTTTCCATCCCCAAAGTGACATAGAAGCAGAGGCTATTCAAGCTCCAAGGACCCTTGGAGGCCTTCTAGACCAAACCTCCTTTACAGACAGGGAAACTGAGGCCTGGAGAGGGGACAAAACCTACTCAAGTTCACGTGGAGTCAGGTGCAGGCTAAAGACGAGACCCAGGCTCCCAACCTGGTATATCTAAATCAATATCCCTCACTGACACAGCCTAGGTTTGGAGACTCCAAAGTGAGTCTGATGCTCAGGCTTTTCTCTAAGATGAGGTCCTGGGGCAGTTTGCCAAGGCTTCCTGCCTTACTCTTCCTGTCCATGAATGATCAGGAACTCCCTACAGGCGCTCTCACTGCCGTCGCCAACCACAGAGGCAGCACAGCACTCCCTACCACCCCCAAAGCACAACCCACTGCCTTTTGAATTTCTTGCTTCTGCAAAACAGGTTGTGGAGTCCCAAGTGTTGAAAGAAGGGAGAGGAGCAGGTCACATTCCTGAGCATTTGCCATTTTAGGATCTGCTTTTTCTGCAGCTTAGGGATAGTCCACAGCCAGTAGTGAAGCCCTGACCAGCTCACTCCAAGCTTACTTACTCATTCATTCAGCAAATATTACCAGGTATCTGCTCTGTGCCAGCTCGTGGTGAACTTGGAGATATCAAGGAGAGCATGTGACACGCTTTGTCCCCACAGTCAGTCACAGGGGTAAACAAATAACATGGTGCAATAGACACTAGGATGGGGAGAGACGGGGCCACGGGAGCACAGAGCTGGGGCTCCTAGTCTACCCGGGTGAGTGGCTCGCATAGGGAAGCCCTCCTGGAGGAAGTGACTTTGAGTAGAGACCTGAAGAATGAGCAGGAATCAGAGACAAGGGGGCCGAAGGGGTGTTCTGGGCAGGAGGTACAGCTTGCACAAAGGCTCAGAGGCAAGGCAGTGCAAGGTGCATTGGAGACATTTATCCAAGAGAGAGCAAGTACATTTTCCTGGCAGTCTGAGCCAGAGAGAATCAGAAGGCCTCCAGAGAGGACAGCAGAATCTGCTGCTCTCAAGGTCAATTCCATAAGTCAATGTTATACAGTCGCTCTATGTTCAGCCACATGGAGGGTACAGAGAAATACAAGGGGTGCTGTCTGCACTCAGAACATTTTCTCCCTCGCTGGGGAGA